CAAAACCGGCACTTTCAAATTTGTCAGCACTTATCATTAATGTCCATACACTCCATACATATTTATAAAATAATTAGCTAAATATAACCAAAGCACATTAAACAAAGTTATTGAATCCTCTTTCCTTATATGACCTTACCATATAATGTGGGATAGATTTCATGCCTCAAAACCATGTAGTGTGGTACTTTCTTGATTCATAGCTTTTACTTGTTTGACAAGCTTTTGTGATCTTGGAAGTGCACGCAACTGATGGAGAATATATTGGTAATTGGTTTCACATGTCACGAAGTGTCCATCTCTTCGGCACTTGGATTCTCCTGTCTTACACCGTGAAGAAAATATCTTCGTCGTCCCATTATTTCAAATATCACAATTTCGATTCTCCCAGTGATCTTTAGCGTTTCTATGTTACCATCAAGTCTCTTTATATATCCTTTCATTTTGAAGAAACCAAGATGTTTGTATTGTATTTCTTCTTCTTTTTGCTATTTCTATATCGAATACTCTTCATATAGAGTCTCTTATCTTGCTAATTCGGCATTACATCTCTCTGAAGCTGTACTATAATAAACCATACTCATGGCACACTATAAAGCCTTTTAAAATGAGTCTTAAAGATCTCCATAATTGGGAATTCAAGGATGTACCTGAACATGCCACATCTTTTAACTTACTGCAGCATAGAACATGAGCGTCCCATGATAAAAATATGATATCTGTCAACTCATAAAAAGTTTATCTTCGAATCCTTTTGAGTATTGAAATAGACTCAAAAATATAAAATAATGCTTAGTTCTATTCTTAAATCATACCATATAGCGAGTCTTCGTTTAAGTGACATTTAGGTCACAATACAATTTTTTCAGCAAAAAATTAGATTGAGCGCCTCTCAATAAAAAATTGTTTCTCTCAATTATCAAAGAATTTCTTCCTAAAATCTTAAGTGTTGAAAATTAGACTAAAATCACAACATCATAGTTTGAATCCCAAATAATACTTTTTTTCAAAGAAAAAAATAAGTGACATTCATGTAAAAAAATAAATCATACTGCAGAATTCCTAGATGAATAATATCTAGTAAAATTGTTTTTTCTCTCTACTCTCATGGAGTTTCCATTTCAAACCAACGTTGTTTGAAATTAGACATATAATGATAACACATATATTTCCACAAGCCTCATATGATTTTGTTAAGTAGGCTTGATAAATATAGTTATTCATGTCTCAATGATTATGGTTGGCAAATCAAGATAAGGTCTGGGTGCTACTCATGTTGTGGTAGGTAAAAAAAATAACACCCAAAATAAAGAAGAAAATGACTGGCCGAATCTGACTTGCATAAGATAACTTGCAGGTGGAATTGGATATAAAAACATGCATGAATATCTCAAAATTGAACAAATCGAGAAAGGGCGAGTTTATCTTATAGATGAAGGCTACAATTTTTACGGAAGCCACCATTTGGCGCTCCAGACCTCTAGATTTCTTTCATCTTCCTTTACTTTATGATATGGCATAATTACTTTATGATATGATACAATTACCCTACTACAAGGTTGTAAGATAGTATGTTGTAATTATTTTATATCTTGGATTATTGAAAACCGGGTAGGGGCCTTCTCCCCTACTTATTTACCCAAAAAAGTTTGAGATAAGCCACGCCATACATGAACGCTTCGACTAAAAAGAGGAAATTAATGCTTTAATCAGCAGAAGTTCAAAATAGAAAGTTAATAACTAACCTATTTTTAGGCTTGACATACAAGCATGAAACTTCATAGAACTCTTGGCGAGTCTAGGGGTGTTTGGTCAATGGGAAAACTCTCTTTAGGAGATAGATTCCCACTGATCCAGCCGCTTTCTCGTGTTTGTTTCATGGGAAGATGGTGCTTGAGAAAGTAAAAATACTCAGGCCGCTATAGAAATCACCCGTGTGGATGCGGCTTCATAACTTGCGATGTATGAAGCCAATTTCTCAGAAATATCTATCCTAGAATGAGATTTCAGTTCAATCAAACTTGACCACATGAATTTGAAATCGCGTTATTACTGGTCGAATTGTTGGACCGCCGGTCCTACAGGTCGGACCACTGGCCCGGTCCTGTTCTCATAACTATGCCTAAAACTATATTAAAGGAAAGTAACTATACTCATGCACTCCTTGAGTATATTAAAGGAAAGTAACTATACACATGCACGCCTTGAGTAAGGAAAGGGCCTACAAACATGCACACACCACCAAAGGACCTACATACATACTTAATTAGCAAAGAATTAAAGCACGAAATTGTCAACTTGCCTATTCTTAGCCATGGCACACAAGTATCATTAGGGCTGGTAATGGGATGGGCGGCCAGGGCACGGCTCGATTGGACTGGCCCTAAAAAATAAGGCGTGAGCCACAAGCTAGGCCCGAGGGATGCCTAGGGCCAATAGTAACACTGTATGGCCCAGCCATTTTTTTTTTCTTGTTTTTTCTATTATTTTTCCTCATTTCATTTCGCCAGGCCTGGCCATGCCAGCCATGCCTTAATTGGACCAATGCCACCCTTAAGTATCACATAGTCAACAAACTTTAATAATAGCTGTATTATATAGTCCAGAGTCCCTCAAGAGAAGCCCACATCTCCTCTTCAAGGAACTCATGGCAACCCTAATGGCCCTCAGTCTCTGTGTCCTTCTGCTCTCTCTCCCTGTGTGCTCTCTCTCAAGACCCCTCTCTCATTCGAGCCCTTCTTCATCATTTAAGGTAGCCCTCATACACCGTGACTCTCCCTACTCCCCCATACATGACCCCTCAGCCTCGCCCTCCGACCTCTTCAGGCTCTCTGCAAAGTTCTCCATCTCTCGCATCCGACACCTCCGATCAGTCCTCACGGGAAAATCCTCACTGTCAAAATTTGAATCGGAGGTTAAGGTAGGCCCTTTTGAGTACCTCATGAGGATCGGGATCGGGACCCCTGCAGAGCTACAATGGCTTATTGCCGACACAGGGAGCGACCTAACTTGGACTCAATGCCTCCCTTGTTTCAACTGCTTCGAGCAAAAGGCACCAATTTTCGACCCCAAATCATCTTCGACATACCGCTCCCTTAACTGCTCATCAACCCTCTGCCAAGCACTTACGAATGACCGCGAATGTGGTGTCTCATCGTGCCAATACCACTATGAATACCAGGATGGCTCGGCCACCAGTGGCAAACTCTCAACTGAAAGTTTCACCTTTGAAACCCCCAAATCCACCTTATCATCCCTTAAACCTAGTATTAGTGCTATTCCCAGTTCTAGTCCCAGTACTAGTCCCATTAAAAGTACCGCTAGTGCCACTTTTAGTAACGATCAGGGCACTGGTGCAATAATCAAGGACCTTGGGTTCGGGTGCAGCTCCTCAACTACAGGGACCTTCGGCAAAAATGGCGAGGCTGGTCTAGTCGGGCTTGGAGGTGGTCCCTTGTCTCTAATCTCTCAATTAGGGAACTCAATTTCGAACAAATTCTCATATTGCCTTGCCTCTAGGCATGACAAGAATGCGACAAGCGTGTTGAACTTTGGCGAGAATGCCAATATCTCCGGCCTGAATGTCTCGAGCACACCGATAATGAATTTCGAGAATTTTCCAACCTTTTATTTCTTGAATCTATCAGACATTAGCGTCGGTGAAAAGAGGCTAGGCATTCCTACAGGAACGTTTGATCTAACCCCATCAGGAGATGGTGGGTTCTTCATAGATTCGGGAACCACTATGACTCTCCTGCCCATTGATGCTGTCCGATTACTGCTGGATGAATTCAACGATATTATCGATTTTCCGTCTATAGTTAATCCTCCGAGTCCATTTGAGATATGCTACATAGTGCCGGATTCCAGTAACATCACCGGATTACCAGATATTACATTCCATTTTTCCGGCGATGCCGATTGGAAGATGGGACCGAGTAATATATTTTATCCCTTGCATGAGAATGTGATTTGCCCGGTCATTGTGAATTCTCCGGCTGCCGGTCCTTCCATTTTCGGAAATTGGCAGCAGCAAAATACGGTGGTAGAGTATGATCTTGGGGAGAAGAGATTATCCTTTGCACCTGCTGATTGTAGAAGTTATAGGGAGCTATGATTTAGGGTTTTTTTGCCGGATTTTCATGGATATTTCCCATTCATGGTAAATTGGTAGATGTTGAAAAGTTTATAAGGAGATTTCATATGCTATGGTCCTATTTCAGAAATCTGTGATTTAGCGGATTATTAACATGAATTTGCTGCATATATAATATTTTATCACGCAAATATTGATCCATTAATCGCCTTTAAGACTTGGGAATCACCTTAGTCGAACTGGATGGAGGAGATTGGTGACTTCAAGGAATACATACCCAAAAATGGCGTAATTTTCCCTTGATTTTAGGTTTATTTTTTGGGAAATTTATATCCGTACTGGTTTAAAAAATCATTATAAGAAAAAGGCCCCCAAAATAAGTCATTATTACTTGATAGGACAGGCCCCTCAAAATTTTTTAATTTTTTTCAGTTTGCCGCAAGTCCAATTTTTTAGTCGTCGTCTAATGTTTAAAAAATCGAACTATTGGAGAGTTACCATGAGAGAGACGATAGTTACAGTAATGGAGAGAGAGGGAGAGAGAGTTACAGTGGGGTGAACATATACACCCGATGCTTTTTTAAAAAGATCCCTAAAGAGAGGTCCGGGTAAAACTGTAAAAATTATATAGGATATCCACGTAAGGTTTTTATATTTTCGGACGAAATTGTAATAACAGTTTGAGAAAATGGTAAGGACATAATCTCCCTTCCCCCAACTCTGGTATCACCCTAGCGAATCAGTGGACCTTTCCAATTTTTGTACAAAGCAGTGGTTTAAAAATCAGATTGGTGCTTCGGGTCGGACACCCCAAAAACCCATCTAAATTGGTGAATCGGTGATTCGGATCGAGAATCGGTTGAATTGATCGGATTAAGCTTTAAAACAAATTCAAAAAAATTATTAAAATTCATTAAAAATGTTATATTTTAGGAATCCAAAAAAAATTGGGGTACATTTTATTATTATTTTATTGTTATTTTATATTAAAATTGAAATTGTTGGTTTACATTGCAATATTATTTTATTATACAAATAATAACAAATCCAACCTTTTATTTATTTTTGACAAAACATACTTGATGTATTACCTTTGATTTTTTTTGATATAAACCTTTTAGTTTTTTTGACAAGAACCTTAAGAAAATTACAAAAATCCCCCCAAATTATACTATCTATGCAACTACCCCCCAGTTAACCTTTCCTATCACTTTTTTCCCCGTTATCACCTTTCCTCGAAAAACCCCCCAAGGTAAAAAGGTTGTTATTTTTTGGACGGAGATGCCCTTTCCTACAAAAAAAAAGTCAATTGTCGGTCCCAAGTAGTGTATTTCTGGAGCGACGAATTCAACCAAAGGAGCGATGTGTCTCCAGAAGGTGTACTGCAGGAGCGCTTGTCTTTATTGTTGGAGCGACCTATTCAACTACCGGAGTGCTGTGGCACTAAAAAGTGTACTGCTGGAGCACGTCTTTGTATTGCCGGAGCGACCTATGCAACTGTCGGAGAGCTATGGCTCCAGAAGGTGTATTGCCGGAGCGAGTTCTTGTCTTCATTGCCGGAGCGTTTAAATGGACTGCCGGAGCACATGGGGAGAGAGTCATGGGTAAAAGTGATGAGGAGAGAGAGGGGGGTAGTTTAATCTTTTTTTCTTTTGTTTTGGATTGGGGAGTTCTTGGGAGGAAAGATGGTTGTGTGGAAAAAAGTGAGAGGAAAGGTTAGCTGGGGGGTAAGTTGCACAAATAGTACACTTGAGGGGGGTTTTTGTAATTTTCTCTATTTGTTTTACAAGAAACGTTTATTTTTTTGACAAGAAAAAGAAATTTTGTCATATTATAATTATTTTTTATAAGAACCATATTTTTTTTTACAAAAACCTTTATTTTTTTGTTAAAAAAAATTTATTTTGTAAAAAAAAACTCTTATTTTGTAAAAACAAAACTCATATTTTTATGTGAGGGAAGAATGTGAAACCTACCAAGTGTTGAACCTGCAATGTCCAGGTGAGAAAAGGGCGTGCTAACTACCACCCCAAAATGTAAATTATGTTATTATTTGCCAGACTTAAAGATTATATTATATTACTATTTCAGCTATTACCTTTTATCACAATAATCCCACATCAAACACACGAAAGAAAATTGATGGAAATAAGTACTCCTTTGTTACCAATTCTTAACGCGTGTGAAACACATGAAGGAGTGTGGGGCTTGTAGTTAAGACACGTGGCCTGGAGGTTGTTGGACACCATGGATCTATTTTAACCCAAAAAATTACAAAAATGTGCATGACAAATTCATGACATCATGAGCGATTTACTGTACATGATATCATGAGCGATTTACTGCACAGAATCATCCAGTTGTAGGACAGATTCATGACATCATGAGCGATTTATTGTACATGATATCATGAGCGATTTACTATACATGATATCATGAGCGATTTACTGTACAGAATCATCCGGTTACATGATATCATGAGCGATTTACTGTACATGATATCATAAGCGATTTACTGTACAGAATCATCCGGTTCAAGGAATCGCTGACTGTACAGAATCGTATGACATTATGAGTGATTTGCTATACAGAATCATTCAGTTCTAGGACAGATTCATGACATCTGAGCGATTTACTGTACAGAATCATCCAGTTCTAGGACAGATTCATGACATCATGAGTGATTTACTGTAGGAATCGCTGACTATACAGAATCGTATGACATCATGAGCAATTTATTGTACATAATCATCCAGTTCTAGGACAGATTCATGACATCATGAGCGAGTTACTGCACATGATATCATGAGCGATTTACTATACATAATCATCCGGTTCTAGGAATCACTGACTGTACAGAATCGTATGACATCATTAGCGATTTACTGTACAGAATCGTTCGGTTCTAGGAATCGCCGGTTCTTATCTAAAACCAGACGATTCTCCGTTTTATACATGTATCGACAAGGGATGGCCGATTCCCTCATCCCGTGTCGAATTGGTTGATTCCGTGCCGACTTGACAACTTTAAACCACTGGTAGAAAGTATGAAGTTACAATACTTATTCGCAATTAACTTAGTAATGTTTGCTCGTATACATGCATGCGACTTTAAACCACCGGTAGAAAGCATGAAGACACAATATTTATACGCAATTAACTTAGTAATGTTTGCTCGTATACATGCATGCGACTTTAAACCACCGGTAGAACGCATGAAGATACAACATTTATACGCAATTAACTTAGTAATGTTTGCTCGTATACATGCATGCGTGCATACAAAGGCACACAGAACAATGGAAGGATATTTATCTTTATACAAGGGGAACACGGGATGACCGATTCCCTCATCCCATGTCGAATCGGCCGATTTCGTGTCGACTTGACGACTTCAAACCATTGATAAAAAGCACAAAAATACAATATTTATACGTAATTAACTTAGTAATGTTTGCTCGTATACATGCATGCGTGCATGCAAAGGCGCCTAGAACAAGGGAAGGATATTTATCTTTATCCAAGGTGAAGCATTCTATAGTCGGCATGAGCATAATAAATCCATGGCCCTGAGGGCCATCACCCCGTAAAAGTGGGACTACCATTTGGAGTGTTCGCATGCTGTGCTGGGCTCATTATCTTTCATCATTGTCCAATCAATAAGTGGACGATGATGATCTTGAAGATTCTTGGAAATATGTAAGCGTGATGGCTGTAGATGCCTTGACGATATCATAGAAGTGAGTTTGTGACGTTATAAGCACGGCTCATGCCAAGGACTCAAACTCTTACCGAAGGCGTGTTACTCGGGGAGACTTGAGTACCTCGCCTGAGTAGTTCACAATTGAATAATAATAATAATAATAATAAAATTATAAAGATAAAAAACGAAGGTAACATGTCATACTAAAAAAAAGGAAAAATAAAACAAACGATTTCGATTTTTTCAATTAAAAAATGGAGATCATGCTTGAGAGGCTCTGTGAATCGCGGACGTTAGGTAGCATCCACATACATAGTCGCGAACAAGCCACTTAAGCACATCACAAATAAGACTGCGAATAATAATATATAAATAAAATCAGTACAAGGTAATCGGCCACGCCCATAGGCTGAGTCCAGAAACGTTGGAGCATTAGTATATGATTCTCACTGTAAATTAGAAATGGAATATGTATAGTATTCACAATTTTGATATTGCCTCTTCGTTCACTCATTATTATAATTATTCAGTCTTGGTTTTCTATTAAATGTCCTGATTTCGAGTATAAATTTTCAATTTTTCTTTCATTTATTTTTTGGTAGTTCTATTTTTTGTTCTTGAAAGTCTGATGGGGAAGAAATATCTTTGAATTTATAAGTGTGCGTTCATCGATAAAATGAAGGAGACACCCCAGCCTTTTGTTAAAAAAAACAGGGAAATCATGATTTACTGCACTTATTATCTATACTTTGAATGCAAGCTTTCTTTATCCCCTTCTCTCTCAAGAAGGTCATACTTTGGTTTTTGAATAATATTTATTACAATATTATAATTAATAATTATATTAACTATACATTGATAATCAAATATTATATTCTATTTATTAATTTATTTATCTTATAAATAATAATTATATTAATTACATTGATTACCACATATTATGTTTTATTTTTTAATTTATTTACATTATATTACTTATAGGGTATTATTTTTTGTTATAGTAGTAAATTAGATTTTTTTAATACTATAAGACAAATTTCAAATGTATTTTTATTTGTATAGTAAAAATGATGATAGATTATTACCCAATAATTTCAATTTTAATGTAAATATTATAGTTAGTTAGATTATGATAATTTTAGACAAATAAAAAGAATTAATAAAGACAATTTCAAACTTTGATGCGATACTAATTTACTTTATATAAAAAATTATTTTTTTAATCTTATAATATGAAAGTATTTTATAATATTTTTATATTATTTTGATATGATATTGTCCCACTATCTTATAATTAATAATTACTAGTGGGATTACG